GAACGCCCCCCTTCCCCTGGGCTCCATTGAAGATGGGGTCTGTAACCATGGCTGAAGCAGCGTGTTCCCTATAAACTAAAGTATGTAGTTGTTCACAGTTGAATGAATAAGCAGACCTTTCACTCAGGCTTCCTAGAAAGCTTTGTTGGGTCTGTAAATTATGTAGCTAGTTTATGGGACTTTTGCTCACCTTGTTTTCCATTACCAGACATTCTGAAACTCTCTTGTCTTCTCTGGTGTTTTCCAGCAAGCAGCTCCTCTGTGACGTGGTGATTGTTGCTGAAAATGTTGAGATGGAAGCCCATCGCATTGTCTTAGCGGCCTGCAGCCCCTATTTTTGTGCAATGTTTACAGGTACTCTTTCGTTTTCAAGCAAAGTATTATGTTGGACTGCATCACTGCCGATTCCAAGAGATGCATGATCTTTCCTTCACAATCAATCAGTCGTATCCCAAATAATCCATATAAATGTAGTCAGTATTGCTGCTGCTGTCCTGAGTATATAGGAGGCCTTTACTTTGTTCTCCACGTGAGCCATCCACTTTCTGTTTCTCTTCTTAAGCTAGGAAGCTGTGGTGCACCCTCCTTTGCCATCCCCATCTGAAAAAGAGCCATCTAAACCAAAAGCTCACTGAGAGAGCTGTTTCATTTTTTAAGATCCTATGTATGGCTGTTGTGTAGCTAGCTTTGGAAATGATCCCTTATGTTACAGTAGGGTTTCAAAAAGAAGAGAACTACTGTTGTGCCTCCTTATATGGATGCTACTTTCTCTAAAAGTGGTGTTAAATAGGGCCTGTTTCCACTGGAAATTGGAGGTGTATGGCATCTTCCAAGGTTGAGCTTATCATTAGGTTACTTAGGTCATTACTTAGGTTAGACATCTGAAGGCGCTATTTCACGGTCAGGGCGGCTAGAGTCTGGAACCAACTTCCAAGGGAGGTGGTGCAGGCTCCCACCCTGGGGGTTTTTAAGAAGAGGTTAGATGAACACCTTGCTGGGGTCGTTTAACCCCAGTACTCTTTCCTGCCATGGCAGGGGGTCGGATTAGATGATCTTCTCAGGTCCCTTCCGACCCTAGAAACTGTGAAACTATGAAACTATTAGCAAAGCATTTTTTTTTCCATAGCTTAAAAGCTATTGTGGGGTCGGGCAAAGTCTGTGCTGCAAAGAACATGGTCCTGGCTGAGGGCAGGCTGAGAAAAGGGGAATGTGCTGCTTCATATGGATAATGTGCTACCTTCACATTTCTGCAGTACAGTGGGTCAGGACATACATCTGCATTAGCAGATGTGGGCTGAAGGGTAGTTGAGGTTTGCCGAGATGGCGAGATCTTTAAGCTAGTAAGAGTTATAGTAAGTGCTTTCTAGAGAGCTGAGACTGTATCTTGAGGGATCTTTGTGCCACTAATAATACTGAGTAAGTAGCAAGACAGAAGAGAGGGCAAAGCTCAGAGGTGTTCAAGTGCCCTGTGAATTACTGTTATGTTGGTAGTAGCTATTATACCTGACAGCAGTGCAGAGATCTGGATGAGCCTCTGATCCTTGCAAGTCATCTCAGCTGGTGAATAACCCTGGTTTCAGGACAGTGAGGGGGGCAGGCAGGGCTTGCGGTATTTTCTCTCCTGGGGTTCTGTGGGGTCCACTTGTGGTCAGAGCAGGAAGTTAAACAATCATTCTCTAACCACAGTCATGGGACTCCTTTTAAAACTGCCCTGGGATGTAACTGCAGCCATTACTCTTCTCTCCTCCTCCAGTAACAGAATGAATTGAGCTGTTGGTCACTGACTCTTTGTTCCCTTAAGTCTGCCCATTTCCAGGTTTTTAAGGCCTCGGCCCCACTGCGGTGAGGTGGGCAGCTTTTCTCTTTCTTGCAGCAGAAGGGTGCTCTGAAAGAACAAGCTGGACTTTATTTTTGTGGCTTCTCTGTTCAGAGATGAGGCTAGGTTGCACTAGGGAAACTGCGCAACCTCCCCGAGTGGGTGTGTGAAGGGGATGTGGAACATGCCTGCAGATGCAGAGGGAGCTTTGATCAATAATGCAGGACGGCTTGGTTCAGTGGGAAATGGCCCTGGACTGGACATCAGGAGACCCGGTGTCTCCTGGAGCCAGGGAGCTGCGGTAACCTCTCTGCTGCAAAGTACAAGAGACCCTTTGCCCTTTGGTCCCACATGTTACTCTGTCTTGGGCACAGGAGGAGCAAAGCCTGGCAGAGGCTTTCACAAACTGCTCACCAGTGTGTTTTCAGGCGTAAGCTGGAAGGACTACTTCCAGCGGGAGATGGTGCTGGGCATGTAATTCCTTCTGCAGGAGGAGGATGCCAGTTAGGGTAGTTGTTCAGGAGCGTAGCCAGCAGGGACCAAAGTGAGGCCAATAACAATCTTTGTGTGATGCCATTTCAGTCCCTGTAAATTTGTTCTGGATTCGAACCTGTGATCTTGAGAGAGAGAGCCGCCTCTCCCAGTTCCTTAGTCAGCTCATCTCCTGAGGCAAACGGCTCTTTGAAGTTCTGAAGTAACTAGGCATTCTCCACTGAAAACCCTGGGACCTATACCTGTGAAAAGCAGGGAGAATCTGGACCAATGTTCCTAAATTTTCCATGGAGGGTCTTTTCTTGGCGATTAACTTGCAGTATTTTGATCTAAAATCAGTTCAGAGCTGATGCTGCAGGGAGGGTCCTTAGTGGAGAATGCATTGAGAAGCATAGAAGAAAGGCAGCTGCACTCATGAAAGCCTTTTCAAATTTTCTGCCCCATTCAGACTCTCCTCCTCCTGTGTGTGTGAAAAGGCTGCTGTTGGGTTACCTGATATGCTGGGTATTCTCGTCCTTGGCTCATGTGAACAGATCTTTGATTTAAAAAACAAAATGACAAGAAAAGAGCTTTAGTTGGTAATTGGGAGGTGTCTCTGTGGGGCACAATAAGTACAGGGCAGGGCAGGCTGTAGTTCTTTGTAAAGGCAATGTCAGTGGCAGCAATGTGAGGAGGTGGGATAGAAAAGCTGGCTAATGTTGACTCCAGCTAGAAAGGGAAGCAGCCTTGTCAGCACAGGGCAGAAGGCAACGTTTGTTGGGGGGAGGAGGAATGCGCAAAACCAGTATAGAGTGGTTGCAAAATGTAATTTCCAATGAAGGGCAGTACAGTCTGGTGGGTACAGCATTGGAGTGAGGACACCGGGTTCTTTTCCCACCTCTGTTGCTGACTTAGTGAGACTGTGGCTAAGACACTTTGATCTCTCCATGCTCCCCACCATCCTTGCTATCTTTTCTATCAAGGATGTAAGCTCTTAGGGTGGGGGTTGCTTTAGTGTTACACTTCAGTCCAGGGTGCGTCTTGTCTTGCTAATTTAGAAAATTAAAGACGCCAGTACTTTTGGACATCAAGCAAGCAGGGCTTGAATCTGATATTAAAGACCTTGTTGGGTGTGTTTTTTGGAAAGGGTACGTGGGGTGAGGCATATCAATTCCTCCCATCATTTCTATGCCCTTATGGATGTATTGGCAGATGTGATACCTGTGCTAAATGTGTGCACTTGGGCCTGGCTAGAAGCATTTGTCACTCACTGCTATTCTCTTGGCACCAACTGCTCTCTTCATCTCAGTGTTGTGTTGAGACACTTCCTGGATGCAGAGGAGTGGGCATCCCTGGCCTGTGGAGCAAGATGGAGCAATGCATTGGGGCATGGAGCAGGTAGATTGTACCACAGCTGGTGGGCTGCTCTGGCATAGGAGCCGAACGTTACCAGGATGGGCGCTGCCACTTGCAGAAGAAGCCAACCACATGGTTAGCAGATTGGGGTGGCCGGGATTCTATTTCAGATGTGATTGATTAACCAGGTCTTAAGCGTAACTTCTCCTAGGGGCCCTAATGTTGGCCAGCTGGCTGAAGATATTGTTGACTGATGGGCTAGAGACGTTCACTTGTATAGGATGTTTAGATTGAGATGATCTTGCTTTAAACAGGGGGTTGGACTAGGTGGGCTACTGAGGGCCCTTCTAGCCTTACTTTTCTATGATTGTATGCTTCTGTGTTCCGTATGCTAAAAAACTTGGTGGCCCTTCC